CCCCCCCCCCCCCCCCAGGAAATTTGTCAAGTTTCATAAATTTGGAAAGGAACTGTTACACCTGATGACTTCATCTACTGCTGCCAAAACAATAACATTATAGTTATCTGTTCATGTTGTTCTTGTAACAAATCATAGTGATAGCTAAGGATTCAGAAAACAAAACAAAACAAAAAATTCTTTCTCACATGCTTGTGAACAGAGTTGTATCATTACCAGATCCCAGGAGGCAGAATTCCACAATTATTCTTTTTCTTGTACATTTCTACTGAGCAATGGCATCTTATGTTTTTAGGATGTGTGCAGATGTTATATCCACACATACATGTAACTTTCATAAATCCTAAAAGAAAAAAAAGCAAATGGGCTTAAAGATGCTGAGAATGGTCCTGCAACTATTGCATGGGAAGGTGTATTGTGATTACACAAACAGACGAAAACAAACAAAACGTCAACTCTCAAAGCACTTATTCAAATAATTTCTCTCATTATAAGAGACTTCTTTTGGGTTTTGGTATCTTAAGTGTGTCAGTACACTTCATGTGTCTTCTACTTGGTGGGACATGGGCAACAGTTTGTTAGTTTGCAATCTAATCTCTTGTTTAGAGATCCTACCTAGCAGAGAATAGCGTGAACATGCTTGGGGTAAAATTGGGCATTGATTGCACTTATGGCACACTAGCCAAAAGAAACATGTATGGTCTTTACTTTTAAAAAGGAATGGTGATGTGGCATGGGTATTACTGAGGCTGGAAACCCAGTCTCATTTTTTTCTTTCTTGCTTTAAAAAAGTATTGCAGGTAGTCCTCCATTAACAACGGTAATTGGGACCAGAATTTCCTTTGCTAAGTGATGTGGTCATAAACTGTATCATCACGTGACTGCATCACTCAGTGATGGCAATCCTGGCGTGCCTGGTTGCCATTGTTAAGCAAGGATGTCCTTGCAACTTCCTGGTGGCTTGTAAGTCGGCTGGCGGGCAGGTAAGTAGGTGCTGCCGGGTGCTGGAGAGGCTGGCATGGTATGGCACTTGCATGGCGGGACTTGGAGTGGCTGCTGCAGGCTGCAGAAGGGTGAAGGAAAGCCAGTGCAGTGCGAGCACAGCAGGGCTTAGGGTGGCTGCTGCAGGGTGCACAAAGGTGTGTGACGGGCTGGTGAGGTATGGTGCAAATGCAGTAGGGCTGGGGGTGGCTGCTGTAGTTTGGGGAGACTTACCTGAGCGATTTGCGACCTTCCCTGCTGGCTTTCCCATTGACTTTGCTTGTGGAAAGCTGTCAGGGAAGGTCGCAAATGGCGATCTTGTGACTGCAGGATGCTGCAAGCATTGTAAGTGCAAGCTGGTTGCCAAGCACCCAGATTATCATGTGACCACAGCTCACTGCAATGGCTGGAACTTCAAATGGTTGCTGAACAAGTGGTCATTAACTGAGGACCACTTGAATATGAAAAACCTGAGGGGCAGCATTGGTCAATGTTTATAGCCCATCTTGTGATGACTTTGGCATATGGAGATTGCCTGCCTTCTTTCTCTCTCTCCCACAATTTCACTTATTTATTTATTTTCAGGACTTATATGGCCACCTGTCTGATATGATGACTCTAGGTGGCTCACAACAGTGCACAGAAAACATAGTTAAAAGCAAAAGTACTTCCGCTTGTAGTACCGTATTCCTGTTTGTATTACTGCTACTTTGTTTACTACTGCTTATTTCTTTTCTGTACATTTCATAGCACTGCTAACTAGAAAAGGAATAGACTGATAGGTGTGCATGTTTTGTAAGTCTTGGTCCATTCCTTACACATTCAGGATTACAACAGAACTTTTAATGGCCCTTTTAATAAATTTCTCTCTAGGTAGTGCAGCATTGCTGGCCACTCATACAAAGCAGAACTCTTGCTCCTCATCCACTTATGCTTCTCCTTAGGATGATAAAATGGTATGTAGTGATTTGGGCCCTTATGCTTAGGTTTGGGGGTGCAGTAATAGAGGCTGGGCCCTATCCTCCTTACAGTGCCTTTCATGGAGAGAACGTAACACTTTGTACATGAGTTTGCATAGTACTGAGGTTGGCTAGTTTGTAGCTCAGCGTGGCACATCAATCCAGCCAATTTGCTAAGTTCATGGTTTAATGTGTTGTACAAAACCAGGCAACCGCATTAATTCAGCAGACCATTGTTCAGTTCATCATATGTATCAAGTACAGCAGCTTTTCTTAGCAGCAAGGACTAAGCAAGTTACGGCTGCATCTTCTGATTGCTTTCAATGGGTGGCTGTATCTGCTTGCACAGGATGGTTCAATCGGAAATCCTCCAGAAAGCAGAATTAATCAGAACAAGTCTTCTTCTGGAGGAACAGCACCACCTCCATACAGTCACTCGTCAGCTTCTTTCTCTGGCCATGTTTGCATGGCACAAAAAAATCCTGCCCTCTGATCAATTTCTTTCGCTTTGAGCACCTGAAGCACATGATCACCTCCGATGTTTATTAGATGAAAGAGGAACTTGTTCTCTTAACATTCAAGGAAAAGGTTGACTAGCCATTTCCTTATTTAAAAAAAGTGGGCATGCACTTCTAAGAACTTGAAGATGGATGAGAGGAAAGAGCTCATAGCTCGGTCGAGTAAAAAGAACAGGGAAAAAAGGAGATAACCACTATATTCAATACCAGAAAAAGAAAAGGGGGGGAGGGTAACCTGCTACAAACAGAGGAATTTTGATACATCCTTTTTAAAGGAAACTACTCATCACATCTTATGCTATCTGTTCATGCAATGGTACTTTTAAATAACGTTCCAATTATTCATTATCCGAGTAGCTCTGTGCAGAACCGCGCTCTAAGACGCAAGGAAGAGACTCAGCGGAGAAAGGGGCGGAGCCGAAACTACCATTGCAGGGCCGGGCAGGTTTGGTTGAGGCCGCGGCGCCGTGGGCGCGTCTACCGCTCCGCAGACATAGGGCCGGCCGGAGCGCGCCCTGCTCTTCCCCGGGGTTGTTGCTGCTTGCTTGGGCGGCGCGGCGCGTCACGTCACGTCACGTCACGTCACGTCACGGCTGCGTTGACTCAGCGGCAGCCTCCTCGCCCGCCTCCTTTTCCTCCTGGGTCCGCTCAGGCCTGGCGCTCGCTCTGGTTCTCTTAGCCTCCCCTCGCCAGCGCCCCGTCTTCTTCTTCGTCACTCCCTTAGGCCGGCGGGGAGGGAAGCCGAAGCTGGGAGAGGGCCATGACTGTGGAGCAGAATGTGCTGCAGCAGAGCAACTCCCAGAAGGTAAGGGAAGAGCCAGCCGAGTAGGAGGAGAGCGGCAGGGGCGGAGAGACCCCGCTTCGCTCAGGCCGCTGCAGCGGGCCCTTTAGCTGCGCGAGGGCCTGCTTTTTGGAGCCTCCACCAAGGCGGATCTGCGCCCTTCCTTTTCTTCTTCCTCCGTGACCTTTGCATATGGAGGGGAAGCCGTCGTGGGCTGGGTTGTTCTTTCCGACTTGGTTAGAGAAGGGCAAGGTTAGTTGGAGCTTTTGGATAAATTGTTTTGGGCGGAGCTCCCTTCTACAGCGATTACTTTTTTCTTCCTCTTCGTCATCCTCTTTGGGTGCTGTGAAGCACTGCTTGTCCCTTATTTGTTTCGTTTCCCCACTCCCGTTTAACCTTGTCAGAAGTGCCTATGGGTGTCTTCCAGTGTATTGATTAATTGAGCATTTATGTCCCGTCTTTGCGCTCGCTATGCTATCTCCTGTCTCCAAAGTGACACTATTTCTAAAGAGAATAATTGACATCCATCCACATCCTCCACCAGTTCTTGTATCCTGAGACATCCCTCCTGCATGTTCTGTAATATTTACAGATGTGTGGTAAACATGTCAGAGATATGTAGTCCAAGTTTTTATTTGGGCTCTGAAAGGTACCAGTAATGTGTGTGTTGAGTGAAGATAGTATTAAAGCAATCTTTCTCTTTTTCTTATTTCTTAGCTGGAGGATCAAGTTGTTAGATGAAAGTGAAAGTTGGATAAACTCAGGGCTTCTGTCAGGAATTTGCCAAGAGAGCATAGTTTAAGATGAAGCTTTTTGTTAGTAAGTAAAAAATGTCCTAATTAATTTCAGTTCCATCCTGGTTCATTTTTGGTGAAGATTCTTTCAGTGTATGTGTGTACAATGACTTGATTTCAGGATCAAAGGTATTGGAAACAAAATTGTCTCACAGCTGTCTATGTGCAAGAATAATTCTTTGTGATTGACAGGAATTTTTGGGTGTAAACAAAGGTAAAGGTCTATCTTTGAATGTTATTCTTCTTAAAAGATGTAGGACAGTTTATATGATCTTGTTGCTACTTAAACTTCCATTTCATTCTTATAAAATCCTTGTGAAGTAGATCAGGTTGTGAAAGAGTAGCTCTCTCAAGCTAACTCCATTTGTACATAGATTTGAACCTGACCTTGATCAAAGCTTGGGAATTCTCTGATTTATTATACTTAATATGATAGAGAATAGGTCATTGTACCATGTATGTATATACATATGTTTACACTCAGAAGTCTATCATGATTTGGACTTGTTATAAGGACAGACTGTTGGATCGTGTATGATTATTTGGTAATGGTATGGAATTGGCTGAGCCATTGTATGTTATAGTGATCAGTAAAATGTGTACTGAGCATTTTTTAAAGTAATGTGAAGAATATAGGGAAGTTCATGATCCAGCTAGCTTTATAAATAGTGTGTTCCCACACTATAAATTAGGCTACTAACAATGCATTCCCCTTATATTTACTTCTACTGTCACAATTCTTTGTTTTATACTTTGTTTCCTTTTTGTATATATCTTTAATTCCAAAAATGCTGCATCAAAATAAAATACTTACATTAAAGTGAAGAGTAATTCTTAAAACAGGTTTAGAAAGATTTTTTAAAAAAAAACTTTAATAGCTTGATCAAAATCCACTTTTGTAATGTTCACACTTTATTATTCTAGGCAGAATTTAATTATTGTCACCCATTTTTGCCTCTTTTGTATCAGTGATGTTTGTATGATATCATAGGCCTATGTATTAGAAATAGGGCATGCTTTATTTTTAGGACCTGAATTATCTCTTTACCAGTTTTTACAGAAATGTCCAGAACATTTAGACATTTACTTAACATTCTACTACTATCTGGGAATTGGATTCTCACAATCATTACTCTGTTTAGAAGCAGAAATAATCCCCCTCCCCCATGCAGGGGGTTGGTTTTTGATTAAGGCAAGAGTAGAGTTAGACACATTTACACTCAGTGCTTTCTTTGCATGCCATTGTTGATGGTAATTCTTGTCTCCTGCAATATTACTGGCTTCCACATTGGGCCTTTACTGGGAGTGTTTCATATGCAGTTACAGAAAGCTTTCACCAAGAGTTTTTGTTCCCTCTTTCATATGGTTTCCCAGAGACCAACAGTCTTGTCTTTCTGGGTGTCAGATGTGCCATTGCGACTAGGGCTGCTGCATGCTGGTGGGCTAAGGAAGCTGAGGTTCCCTTCAGTTGGTCCTGGAGTGGGATAGAAAGTCTGATGTCTCACTGTAATGTACTGCTACATTGTTCATAGTTTAAGGAGAGAAGGCTTTGAATGAAATTGCATATCTGGAAGAAAGTTAAGAGGCTGCAGGGAGATTTTTACAATCTCTTTTCTAAGCATGAGGGAGGCTGCCACTCATATGTAAGTGCTCTTGAAAAAGTTATGGGTAGCTGATGAAAGATCACATTGGAGGGATATAGCTTGGTTGGTATGTATTCCTCTCTACCCCACTCTCCACAGGCAAGGGTTGGTTTCCAAGGTTATATAGCAGTGGGCAACTGCTGTCTGTGGGGAAACCTAGCCCATGTTCTGTGCTTCAGGTCAAACAGCTCTGCTTCTCCTTCTGTTTGCTAACAAATCCCTGTCTGTATTGATGCCCACATGGCAGGAGGGTGCAGCGGTCCTGCAAATTGGACAGTGAGACTTCTGGTACAGCACAAGGGGAGGTTTTAATGGTCTCTTCCTGATTTCTTCCCCTGCATGTTTATCTGACACACTGCAGTCCACTCACAACAGAAGCTCAGTGTGGTCTTGATCTCCCTTTTGGTAATGGAACAGATTGTCATGTAGTTGGCAGACAGGTTCCATAATTATATTGGGCCACAAAACTGACAGCTTTTCTTTTATCCACATACAGAGCAGCTTAAAGAATAGCAGCTGTCACCACTCTACCACAGCCAGGAGTCAACAGGTACCTGGACACTGGGACGGTGCCTTGTTGCCATGTAGTTCTGCAGCTGCATATCGGGCTGCAGGAATTAATACTGGACTCTAACAGTGCTATCCTACAATTCCTGGCCAGGTGATGCAGCTAGACCCATTAATGGCAGCCTTAAAACATTTAGAAGGTCACAAAGTCCTGATAAGTTTGGAAAAGATATTCAGGGATTTCCTGGCATTTTAAATGTTTTATGGCTGAGCTGACAGTTTATTTTCCTTGGGAAAGTGTATTTGGGTTAGGGGATTTTAGCTGGATCCCCCAAATTCTCCTTCAGATTCATTTGGAGATCTCAAAGAGACTCGCATGGGTCATCCTGAAGCTTGTCAGCCAGCATTCATCATCCATCTGTCATCCATCCACTGAATATGTGTAGGGTACAACCGCCTCTGTCGAGGCCTGGGGACTGCCTTGTGAATTGACTCTAGTCTCCTGGTGAGCTTGATTCTCTGAGTAGCTGGCTAATAAACCTGCAACTGTAGCATCCACATCTGTTTCCTCTTCCATTGCAGCAGCAATTGCAGCCAGCACATTGAGAACTAAGGCCACAGTGGATTAGTCATTGCAAGTGGCATTTCTCTCCTGTATATTGCTTGTTTTGCAGATCCTGCTATGTTAGAAGCTGGAAGTACTATAGCATGAATGAGGAATTGCGTGGCCAAGCATATCACACCCCACACAAAAGAGAAGATGTGAAAGCCTAGCTGCTTTACCTTGTACTGTAATTCTTCTAGTACATTAATTGCCATCCACTCACTGCTGGATGGTGTAATGTTGGTGCCTCTTGTATCTGTTCCAGTTTCCTTTTCCTCTATATTCATGTAAGGCTGTCCATGGGTTGTGCACTCAGCTGCATGGTAGAATGTGGAGGGAGCAAAGGCCATCTAGATGATGTCCAAGTGGGTTTCTTCCTTTAGGTGGGGCAGTCATGATGAGTGCTAATCCAAGCACCCTGTTTTTCTGTGCTTTCTTCCCCTCTTCTCTCTTTGTTTAAGCAGACCCCTGCAGTTCTGTTGTGTGCCTGACAGTGTTTCCTATATGTTCTGATTTTCAAGCCAATACATGATGTGTTTCTTAATGTATAAGAAGTGATAGAGTCCCCCCACACATTCCCCCCCCCCATAGTTTCCCATTCCCATGAGGTTTGAAAGTTATGCCCCTTGTGTCTCTTCTGGGACCAAACCAAGGAAAGAAAAATGCTGTGAGAAGCATAACTGTATGAATGGAAATCAGAAACAAAATGCAGTGTGAAATACCTTACCTGTTCAGGTACCAGAATACCACATTTGGAAGTAAATATTAAAGAGTTCCTGGGGTTTGCAAGGAACCTTGCAGTACCTGCTGATGCATTCTGCCCCAGTGCAAAGGAACACTTTTCCCAGAATGAAGTTTTCGATTATATACTTGGTGGTTTACCCTTGCACCTTGAGCAACCCTAGACAACATAATGGGGAACCAGGTTTCCAGTGGTGTTCCTGGGAATTGCTAGTGTGTGGCATTGTAATCAAGTACGTGAAAAGCTTCAATAAATTCCCATTTTTGTAATCTGATTTTTAGACCCAATGTGGAAGTTATAGTGTAGTGTAAATTGCCAGAGACTACATTATAACCAGAGATCAGGCATGTACTTAAAGTAGCCTACAAGGTTCCAGATATTGAAGAGGAGAGTACTGCTCAGATACAGCTCTATGTGCAAGGACTGTAAAGTGTTAGAACACAATATGTCTCTGGTTGTGCCCCCCATTTCTTTGCATGAACCCTCCAGTAGCATATATAAGTAGTAATTGCTGAATACAGTGCTGCAGATATTACTGCTCTCAACCCAACAGCTAGGAACAAAAGAGACAGTAGATATCAAGAATTTGAGAAGCTATACTCACAAACTTTTTTTACAGTCTGGTATTGGACTCAGGCAGGTGCAGGCCAATGCTGGCTCCATTGCCAGGCGTACAAATGCAAACAGTGATTCAGTCTACAGTATGCATTATGAGTCAGGGCTAAAGAGAACCT